CTACATCAGTGGTGGCGAACCTATGGCACGGGTGCCAGAGGTGGCACTCAGAGCCCTCTCTGTGGGCACGCGCACCGTTGCCCCAGTCCTAGGCCTTCAGCTGGGTTTTATAAAACCTTTTCGCTTTAGGCCTCCACCACTGTGTGCAAAAAAAAAGAAAAAAGGTTCAATCAGTCAATTTCAACTTCTCGCGGGAAAAAAAAAGATCTTGCAAAGTTGGAATTGATTGAACTTTTTAGTCCCACCCAGTCTGCCGTTACCACCGCAGCCATGCCCACCCAATGGGCCACACCCACCCGGCACTTGACGATGCATAAGTGGGTTTTGGGTTGCAGTTTGGGCACTCAGTCTCTAAAAGGTTCGCCATCACTGGACTACATGGTGTGTTGTCATTTAGGCAACAGTTTCTTACTATTATGTCATGGGAAGTAATTTACAGTAATTTGTATTCAACTTGCAGTAAGTTAGGTCTGAATTCCTTGTTCCTCATGACAATTGGATTGAGATGTCTGTGTAAATGCTGAATATGTAAATGGTGCTGCATCATCTTGAATATAAGGATTTACTGGGATTCCTAAGGCTTCATCTTTGGCTAGTACTATTCAACCTACAGGATGTACTGAAAAAGGCAATCAAATTTGCAGATGAAACAAGCCAGAAGGAATGGCTTATACTTTGTAGCAGTGTTTCCCAACCTTAGCTACTTTAAGATATCTGTACTTCAACTCCCAGATTTCTGGGAGTTGAAGTCCAAACATCTTAAAGACATCAAGGTTGAGAAACACTGCTTTATAAGATGAAAATCCTACTTCAAACTGACCTTGACAGGTTTGTGTGTGGGACAATGCCAGCAGAATGATATTGGGCAATGACAAGTACACAGCCTTGCATTAGAGTAGAAAAATTCAAATAGAAAGGTACAGGAATAATGACTGTGTGGGGGATAATTAGGTATACTACTGTGTCATCAACTGAACCTAATGTGAAACAGAATTTAAAGGGCAAATGCAATCTTCAGTTGCATTAATAGAAGCATCCAGATCACAGGACATAATCATCCCATTGTAGTCTCTGCTGGCTAGACCACTTGAGGTATTGTGTCCTGCTTTGACTATCCATTTTGAGATGTTGATTTACGGTTAAACAAAAGCTATCAGGATGTTAACGGATCTGGAAACCAAGCACTTCATGCAATTGTTAAGGCATGTTTCATTCGCAAGGGAGAAAAATAAGGATATAATAACCAATCCAAAAGGCTGTTGTGCAAGAGTGGGTTGATGTGAGGACTTTCAGTTTTGCGCGGTAGCAACTGGTCACGGGCTTGTGGATTCTCCGCACACCTGCGGCTAATTTCACCTTGCCAGGGGACCCTAAATGGGTCTAAGTCGCCCCGGAGAGGCAACGAAGAAAGAAGGATGCTCCAACGATTCTGGAACAGCGGCGGCCATTCCATTCGACTTGGGGAAAGCCTTCTAACCCAACAGGAGAAAGGCTGACCATATTGCATCAACCAGCCCAAGCTACTAGCAACTGAAGTCCAAAAGCACTAACCAGCACAACTGTGAATAGCGTGCTTGAAACTGGGTGAGGAATTAGATCTTCTCTTTTATATTTAATTTCCTGGAAAAGATTCCCAAAAAGCAAAATACCTCCAAAAGGGAAGGAGGGGCATTTCTGCCCCACACTTATACTAACGGAAGCGGCGAATTAATCTTTTTATGGAGGATCAAAATATATGGAATTGAAATAAATATAAAACCTGAATCTTAAAACTTAAATCCGGATAAATCTAAAATTGTTTTAATGGTTAAGACTCTCATTTTAAAGATAATTGTTCATTTTGGAAATTGAAAAACAAATAGTTGCTGACACCTAGTGGCAGATGAAGACTATGACAGCTATGACTTTAATATAAGACTTGGCAAAATCTGGGAAAAGCTAATTTGTGTCTGTGACCTTCAAAGCTTTAACAACAAAGAACAGCTGTGACAAAAAAGAGAACACAATAATCTGGGCTGTAGACAAAGAGAATTATAAATTTCAGGGGAAAAATCTTTTTTGAACTATTTGGATTACAAATATCTAATTGGGACTCTAAAGCTATTTGCAGACAAAAGGAAGGAAGAGGAAAACTCAAATTCTTGGCTATCATGGATCAGAGACATGTAGAAAGAACATATCAAGAAAACATAAATACTTTACAGGAGGAGATATATATAGTATACTGCAACTAATTCAAACAACAATGACTTTAAACCACAAAGAAATCCAAAACAACTTTGAAAATATAAATCAATCTATTTCCAAGTTAACTCTATAACAAAAAAATTCCCAGAAAACAACAACAGAGAAGGAGCAGATAAAACAGATAAATGGATATAGAATTGAGAATAGAGACTTAAAGATGGAACTTAACAAAACAAGGAAACATGATTTAATCCTAGTGGAAAAAAATTCACAAGAATTGGAAAAAACAACTTATCCCTTAAGACTACAAAATAAATCTGAGGACAAAAAAACAGATTGGATAAAATGGACTTTAGAGATGTCAGGAACATCGGAGAGAAAGGGAATGATAAGAGAAGCGGAGAGAAAGAAAAAGGAAAAGGAAAGGCAGACACTTCTCCTGATTTACTTTTTATATCTACAACAACATTTATGAACATACGGAAAAACTTTTTGATTCAGCAAAATACATTGATTAAGAAAGACACTGGGCAAAAGAAAAAGACTAAAGTGGAAACTAAGAAAATAGATGATGGGACTTACCAGAGAGAATACTTTAAAAATAAACATTTGTTTGAATATGTTAAAGAAATAGAAAAGTTTAGGAATATATATGTCACTCTAAGAGGGATAAATTCTCTAAATATGATATAGTATGCTTTTTTCCCTTTTTTGTTCTCTTTCTTGATATGAGTAATATAAAAAAGTTGAAATGACTTAGATAAAGGAAATGTTTTAGATATTTAAATGTGATTTAATTTAAGAAAATTATGATGGATAAAAACATGTTTTGAATAAGAGTTAAAGGACTAGATGACTAGATTAAATGGAATGTTTAAAGATTAAACATTTTTAATTATGGTTAAAAAGAATAAGAAATTTAGGAAATAAATACATATTAGCTTAGGAGGGATATATATTTTAAGTAACGTTCTTTTTTATGCTTCTTTACTCTTGCTTTTCTTTCTTTTTTCTATTGTTTTATCTATTCCTTAAGAATTGTAAAAGTGTGAGATGGTTCATATGGAAAAATAGAGTTAAATTCTTAAATGTAATTAATTTTTTAGAAAATCTTAACCAGTAAGAATATCTAGAATTTGGTGGGAGAAACAAATTAAAATAAGGACTGTAACAGGATCTATGATAAGGCAATCAGAATGATTGGATAGAAAAAAATATTATATTGATGTGATTATTATTTTTAGGATTATTGGGAAAAATATATATTTAATTGTTATCTATCAAAACAATAAGAATTGTATTAACTCAATGTTTGCAAAAGAGGATATTTTGGGAAAATAGGAAATCAACTAAAACTATTATGTGGATTATGGATTATAGAAATCAATTGTTAGTGATTGTTTTACAAATATAACTCAGACAACACACTGTTTACCAATTACTGTTTATGTTTTTAAAAAATCAATAAAATATATTACAAAAAAATAGTGGGTTAATGTGTTCTTTGATAAAGGTGAGAGCAAGACAAGAGCCAGTAAATTATAAAGAAAAAAAAAATGAGGCTGGATATTAGGAGTAATTTCATTATGCCCACAGCTATTAAGCAATTCTTAATTCTCCCTTGCTGGAAGTTTTCAAATGAGGATTGGATTGTCACTTGTCAAAGCAGTTTAATGGATTCCAATCCCTGGACTGGATGATCTTTGAATAAATCTTGACTTCCGGCAACAGGTCCATGCAGTTTCCTTGGCAACGTTACAGAAGTGTTGGTCATTGCTGCCTTGTAGGATATTTTAAGTTCCCAGTCTAGAACAAAGTGTGATTGACTCAAAATCATCCAGCTAGTTTCTGTGTCTAAGGGGGACTAGAACCCTGGGTCTTATTGCTATTTATCTAGCACCCTAACCTCTGGATCACCTTGGTTTTCAAGTGGCTTATAAGATCCCATGGACTCATACTTCCTATTATTTTTATTCCTTTAGGAGCATAATGATAGAAACATGACAAAGAACCAACATAAAACAAAGGATAAGTAAAGTAACAATAAAGATAACTGTTTCAGCAATAAATCTACAACACAACAGAAGTAGAATTGATTTCATTTATATTCAGTCATTGAAGAATATGCCAAACTGTATATTTGCAGTTTGCACTTTCAAATTTGCTTTCCTGTGCCTGGTTATGTTAATATACTCACATTGTGTGATATAACATCTAGTTGAAGTTTGCTCTTAGATTGGACAAGAATACGATACACATTGGTCAAATCAAATCTTATGCTTAATGTCTTTGGGGGGTAATCATGCAGGTCAGGGTTGTCTCAAAGGTGCTTTTCTAAAATGGCAACTGGACTTTCTTGGGTTCTTTTCCCTTGAAAACATTTTGCTTCTCATCCAAGAAGCTTCTTGAGTTCTGAAGTTCTGAAAAAAAAACCAAGAAAGTCCAGTTGCTTTTTGGAAAAGCATCTTTGGGACAAATCTTACACTAGAATGTTTCATGAACAAAAGGTTATGAAATGTATTGGTCAGTGAGATTAACACACATCCTATCTTCAGAATGTCACTTGATTCTATTTTGGCTCATAAATGAACTGTTCACTGTTTCTGTTAGTAGATTTAAGGGCTACTGTAGCAGGAACTGACAGTTTAAGTGCCATTTAACATAATAGATTTTACTCACTTCGTGAAAATTGTTCCTAGGGGGAGGAATACTAGCAACAAAGGTAAGGGAAGGCAGAAGAACAAGTAAAAACAAAAGACAGCATGTTCAAATGTCATCACCACACAATAAAAGAAGAGATACCAAAAATGTCCCCTTTATGCCTTTCCATCATTTTAATGCTAATTACACCAAATGTAATTTTAAAATAAGGAATGCAAACAAGTACAACAAAAACCACATTGGCTTATTGGCTTATATCTAATATCTAATAAGCAGTCCTGAGTAACAGTATGGCAAGAAGTGTCCTGGGTTAATGAGACAACCAACAAAGGCATTGAAACAGCTTTTTAAAAAGAAAATAAAACCATATTTCAATAGCCTGGTGAATCTGTAGAACCAATCTTACTTGTTAATACAGTAATCAGATTGAAAACTGATAAGATCCATCAGTTGTTTTTGCCAAATTGATCAGCAAAGTATATACTGGGGCAAGTATTGACATAAACAGAATTCTGGAAGTAGTCATAGGCTTTTGAAAATGTCTAAGTCCAGTTACTATTCATTCTGCAATATAATTCCTTAAGGGATTGTTTGCACCCATCCCAAATGCTGTAAACATTTTAAATCACTTTCCAACATTTAGAAATGTTCTTAAATAGAGATTGAGCTGATAAGTTTTGTAAAAAAAAAAATCTGTTCTTTTGAAAAAGAGAAGGCCACTGCAGAGAGTTGAGGTTCTATTATGTTTCCAGCCAAAACTGGAAATCTTTGCTGAATTATTTGCATTATTAAGCTCACTCCCAATGTGACAGGAAGAACCATCTGATATGCTAGCAGGTAAGGAGCATAAACTGAGAAAGAAAGTGGGTGAGGATTTCCCAAGAAATATGAAATTAAAAAAGAAACATTAGGAGGCTGTAAAGTCCATGTTATTTCAAAATTATGAGGTTGAAAAAGAATAGAAAATAGGAGCCCTCCTGTGGGTTGACTCTGACAGAATATATCATGGAATAATGAAGACAAGCTGCTCCTGCCACCTTCATTAATTAGCAAGCAGCATTTTCATAGCTGCACCCTGGTTTTGGAAGCTGAAATCCAGTTAGGTAAGACCCATCCATGCTCATCATAATACATTAAACACTAGGCCAGAAGCCCAGTGGTACAATTACAACACACTCCTTCAAATAGGCCCACCCCAGGAGAAGACAGCCCTTGTACTTTGGCAGTTCTTTCTTTGGTCCAAGCACTCCTAACAACAGTTTGTGAGGAAACCTGCTTTAGGAAGGACTGGTTCCATCTGCATCATTTTCTTCCTGGCTGGCCTTAAGTTTGGATAATACAGCGTGGATCCGGAACAGTGTTCGTGACTCCATTGAATAATTTTTGTAGTTGTTCCTGGTGGGAAAAACACTCAAAAATTGTTATATCCTTTATATCAAACCTGTATGTATTCTGCACACCAAAAACTTATTTCAGGAATCCAGGTATTATCTTCCAGGATAATATTTGATATTTTGTAGATATGACTAAAGTAGATGTCAAAAGGATAGTTAAGCATTCTACCAGGTCAGATAGGGTAGGCACACTCCTAGTTCCTTCCCCAAATATTGACATCTGTTGGGAGCTAGGAATTATCCCTTTTCCCTGGCAGCCCCTGACCTATGGAGCGTTTTGAAGTTTAGCAGGCCTCCACTCTTTTAGCCTTCTGGCTTTCCCCCCTAGCATTGGGAGAAGATTAGATGATGGCACATTAGCATGGATGGCTGCCAGGTTTTTGTTATTTCTAATATTTTATGTTTTAATTGGTTGAGGTTTATAGTTTTTTAAATGATTTTATTTATTTATTTTCATTTTTGATTGGGGGCTACCCAGGAATGGTAAAAAATGGGCAGCTATATAAATGTTTAAATAAATAAATGTCTAGCTCAGATGAATATGATCCAATAAAAAGAAATGCATTGAACAAGCCTATGAAATACATCTTTTGCTTATTCAATTACTAGTCAAGTAGTTTGACTCAGAGTAACTAAGCTGAGAGCCTGCTAGTTCTTAGACCTACTTAGAATTACAAAGAACTTGGGGAACAGAGGAAAACATAATTCATGGCTGGCAAGCACCTTTTGGCCGTTCTCTCCATGAGATTATAAAACTGTCTCAAATGCTGTTAAACTGTGAAGTAGCGCTATCTTCTAGGGCAAAATATTATGAGATATGCTGAACTTACTTGGCTCTGCGAAGCAACTGTATAGCCTCTTCATTTTGGCCTTGTGCCACATACAGCAGACTCAGTTCCAATAGTGCATTGGGTACCAGGTAATGATCATACCTGATCTTCTTCTTACTGTAAGCAGATAGACAGTCATGCATCCTGTTTTGCTGGAAGCTTTACAGGGTTTGTTGTGGTGTAGCTTTCCCTGATCTAAGACCTCCAGATACGTTGGAATTAAGTTCCCAGAATAGTCAACAATGCCTCACACTCCCCCCACTCCCCACTTTTTCCCCAAATTTTTCAATTTTTTTTTTATCAAAGAGACCTGCATCATACCTGCTATGGACAGCATTGAAGCACGCCTCAGCCTGAGCCAAACTGTGCAAATGCTTGAAGACTAGGCCTTTGAGAAGTAACACGAGACACTGATCATCTACCTGGTACTCACTGGCTGAGAAAATTGTGGAAAGAGAAATGGAAAGAGCAGAAGAAAAGTTAACCAGGCTAAGCAGTTATTGCATATTCTACTTTGCAGAAAGGTTAAATTGCAATATTTCCATTCACATTATTTGTGTAGCAGGTAGGTTACTCGCTCTGCTTGTATGGGTAAAAATGGAGCCCATACCTCTCCCTGCACATTTATAACAGCTTGCTTGTGAAGCCAAAGAGCTAAACTACAAAAACAGATTCCCCTTCCAAAATGTGCAAGGAGATGTTTATTATTTTTAAAGATCAGATGATTATCCCACCTTTCCCCCAGGACTTTAAATTCATATATAAAACAGAATTATAGAGCTGGATGGGTCCATAAACATTATCTAGTTGATTCTTCTATACAATGCAGGAATAATGCACTGCCCTCCAATTTTTCCCTACAACAGTCCAATGGAGCAGGCTGGTCTGAGAGACTGACCTAAAGTCAGCCAAGCCAATTCAACCTTATTTTCAGGGACAAAGTATCTGCTAAACTACATCTTACCAAAAACATCATCTTAACATTTACTGTCTTGTATTTAAGCTAATACAGTTCTTATTATATCAACTCAGTAAAAACATCATTATTACATTTATCAATAAATTTTCGCTTATACGTATCTTATTTTTTACATTCAGTCTTCATAAACAATTCATATCCTGTTATTAATTTTTTCCAAATTTTTAGTTTCCCATCAATATTCCAATTTAACCTTTAATATTTATAATTTTCAGGCTTTAGGTAACCAAGATTTCCCTTATCTCAATTCATAACAGAATCTAATATCCAAAATACACATTTTATCTATTTGAATATAATCTTGTTCTATTTCCTAAAAGTTATCTATTTCCCACCATATTAAATCATCTACTTAATAATACAATATCCCCTTCAATAAATCAAAACCATTATATATATTACCTGGGTTAATCAATAAAGCAAACATATTCATAATAATTATTTTTTTCTTTTAGGTCTAATTTTTAAATATTAAATATTAAAATCCTTATTTTCAACTAATTTCCAAATATTTTAAATCTAATGACCAGAATTTCCCTTATCTCAACTTCTCCCTTTAACCCTCTAATTAATAATATGAAATCCCCTCTAACAAATCAAACCCCCAATTTTCTTCAGCCTTATTCTGGCTTTCTTCCTTTGCCAACTAGGCTTCCATATCAGTGCTTTTAGATCATCAAATAGATCTCCCAATATTATTATATATGTTATTTGAAATAAAGGAGACCATTTAATTGCCATTTTTTTGAAGGACTAGCGCATTTGTATTCATTAAGTTGTCTCCCTATTATTCCAATCCCCCATGGTTGCCCTGATATGTTTATCTTCCATTCAATCTCTTCTTCTTCTTTCTCAAATTTCTTCTGATTTATATAGAAAGTCTTTTCCATTTTCAGTGTTGTCACTCCCTTTTCTGGATTTTCCATTAACTGTATTTGTTGGTCAATTGAATCCTCTGTCTTAATATTTGATTGTTCCACTTCTGTTATCTTCTGCGTTGTTAGTTCTTTGGTTGTAGTCAAAGTTTGGGTTTGTGTATCTAAGCTGGCGTATTGATCTTTTATGTTAGGTCTTATTTTATCACAGGCTGAAAGAATGGTTTCATGTATTGCTTTCAACATGGAAATGATCTTTTCCTGGTCTTCATCCATCTCTTTCATGTGTTTATAAATAGTCTTTATAGTAGAAATCATTTGTCAAGCAAGATTTTATAGTCCAAGATATTTCATCATCTCATATAGTAACCAATATTCCTCAAAGAAAGAGATAGAAAGGCAATTCCCCACATAAAACTCTGAAAGTCAGTAAAGGTTTACATTCACAGTTCAAATAGGCCAGTTATGCTGCCCAGCTGTTCTCTTACAGCTGAGTTTCTCACAGATGGTGCCAAGGTCAGAAGAGTCTTATCTAAGGTCTGGGCTTCGAGCCAAGACTCTTTTAGGAAATAACAAGTTGTAATACCAAACTTTGCCACAACATGTCACCTATGCTGCTTAAGGTTTTTTAAGTCCAAAATTTTTATAATCCTTTTTTCAATTTTATTTTTTTTGTAGATAAAAGCAAACGTCTCCAATAAAAATAGGAAAATTTTTGGTCCCCAAGTTTTAGGAACATATAAATCCAATTAGATTAAAGTTGTTCTTTTAGTGCTTTAATTCCCCTGGGTAGTCAGTCGCCACTATTCTTAGAGGGTGGGATAGAAATTCCCTTCCCTCTCTCCTCACAGGGGGAAAGATACTTCAGGCAGCTTTTACAGGAAAAGAAAGTACTTAGGCTAAAGAGAAAATTGGATCTCACCCAGTTTCATCCGTGTTGCTTTCAAAGTGCTTGGTGGTAAGTTTGACCGGCTGTCCGCAGCCTAGTGACGGGCCATATTACTATGTCCGGTCTTTCCTCCGCCCATTTGGAGGGCTGCCCTGGATCGAGCAGGAGGGCTGCTGCCCTCCTGCGATCAAGCGGGGGTCTCCTCCTTGCTCGTCACCCCTTTTGACCCTTTCCAGGGTCCCCCAGCGGAGGGAAACCGAACATGGAAGATGGAGTTCACCTTCTAGCATCCGTGGCGGCCGCAATGGCAAACCGGAAGTCCTCCAGTTAAAACATTTATTGATCAGAATGCAACCCATTTATTCCAGATGTTTCCTATAGAGTGATTCTTTTCCTAAACATGGGCTTCAGTTGTTTACCATTTCTTATTTTCTAAGAAAGCATGTAGAGCCTGGCTGTAAACCAGAGTCATTTTTGGAAATAAAGATTATGCCAATGTTTTTGCAGCTTGCTGGTTTCTGTATTTAAATTGAAAGATGAGATGGGTCAGGGAGCCTGTTGCTAAGCTGGGAAATCCCTGTCTGTGGATACCAACTTTGGTCTATGTGTAGGAAGAAAGCGTGCTACCTGGTGCTTCTTGTAGCTTCTTCTCAGCCTGTATTAGAGTGTCTAAAGTTCCTTCCAACAACTCTTGCTGCTTGCCCAGCACTGTAAATCCATTCCACATGTACATCATTTCCTGAAAAAAAGATAAAATCAATACAGAAAGTGAAAAAAAATGAAAAGAAAGGACTAGGTGAAAAGAAGGACTAGGGGGTAACATGATAACAGGGGCTGTCACAAAGAAGAAGGGGGTCCACCTATTTTCCAAAGCAACAGAAGAAAAAGACAAGAAACAATGGGTGGAAACTAATCAAGGAGAGAAGCAACCTAGAACTAAGAGACTGGGAAGCCACCTGTCTGGAATGGTATAGGACAGTGGTGGCGAACCTATGGCACGTGTACCAGAGGCGGCACTCAGAGCCCTCTCTGTGGGCACGCGCGCCATGCCCCAGAGATGGCAACCATCCCTCTTCAACCAGCTGCCCGCTAACTTGCCGAGGTCCCACATGCCCGGATGCATCCCAGCATGGCTGGTTTCCCTTCCCTTCCATCCCTCCTGGCTTCACATGCTCTCCTTTTCCTGGGCACGACCCACTGCATCGCCTCCTCAGCTGTCGTCCAGTCGTCCAGCTCAGAGGCGGCTTCTCTGAACTGCTGGCGGCAGGCTGTGGAGCTCCAGAGTGCACTGGTCGAGGGGCTGGCAGACTATGGCTGCTGATGGACACTGTCGGCCCCCATGTGCTCGCTGGCCTCTGTGTGTGGGGGCTGATGGTATCAGGCAGCAGCCGCCCCAGCCCCTGCCTCACCTCGCCCTGCGACAATGGCACCCCCGCCCTGCCTCGCCTCGTCTTGCCTCGCCTCATCTTGCCTCACCTCACCCCGCAGGATGAGTCTCCTGTCTACCACCCCACCTGCTAGAGACCCCCTGGATCTCCCCCAACCCTGCCCAGCCCCCACAGGTGTCCCTCCCCATGAGTAACATAGAGGTGACCATGCCCACCTTGGCCACACCAATCCAGTCTGTCATGACCACTACAGCCATGCCTACCCAGTGGGCCACGCCCACCTGGCACCCATCAATAAATAAGTGGGTTTTGGGTTGCAGTTTGGGCACTCGGTCTCTAAAAGGTTCGCCATCACTGGTATAGGATCTCCTGCTTGAGCAGGGTTGGATTAGAATACCTCCAAGGTCTCTGTTATTCTGTTACTGAGAATTGTGGCAGCAGCTATAAATGGAGGAGGCATATTTTGTTATTCTACACCAGGGAAGAACCAGTTTGGCATAGTGGTGAAGGCACCAGGCTTGAAACTAGGAGACTATGAGTTCTAGTTCTACCTTAGACATGAAACTAAGTGACCTTGAGTCAGTCACACTCTCTCTCAGCCTTAGGAAGGAAGCAATGGAAAACTTGCCAAGAAAACTGCAAGGACTTGACCAGGTAGTCACCAGGAGTCAACACTGCTTTGAAGGCACAATAGGGAACCAAAAATTTCATTCCTGAACTCCTCAACATATGAGCCAAACTAAACTATATGCTCAGAATGCTTACACATTGTTTAAGATTACTAATTTTATTTTGAAGGAATCAGTTGGTGGAGGATCCACAAACAAGACCCCACAACAGTCCCCTATTAATTTCCACTTTAAACTACTATCTGCCTTCAAAAAATGGTGACTGCATTCCCCTGCACCTTTACCACCAGTTATGGACATTTTTAGCAGGAAACAAACCTAATTCCTTCCTTTAAGGGTGTTATTAGTTTTAAGCTGACTTGGATCTTTATCTTCTGAGCCAGAAATCCAGGTTCACTGATAGTCATTAGTATTAAAGTAGAGCTTTTGTATTAGTATTAAAGTAGAGCTTTCCCCCCCCCCTTGCTGATTCTAAAGATCTCTTGGGTCACAGTTATACAGTTTCAGAACTGTATAACTGTGACTGGGCTGAAATTAAGCTCTGTGCATACAAAAGGCAGGAAACTCGATCTAATGTGTCAAATGTGCTTTACTCCTGTAATTCTGTGATCTTTTTTAAAAAAATCTTATTATAATTTTATTGAGATTAGTTCTTCACCTATAGATACAATGCTAGGTGGGAAAGAGTAAGAAGTTGATTTCTGTTTGTTCTGTAAAAATTCTGCCATTTGGAGCACTCATATCCATTGTTGGTAGACAAATCTCAATTAACTAGAATCACAATAGATCTTAGCATCTTGTTTCTTGTTATATTACAGTTTTGCCAGGCAAAAATATGAAAAAAACATTTCTTTTGTATATATGCATCTGGTACATGAAATAAATATACACACACATACACGTACAGTATATACACAAATGGGAGAATGTGCCCATGAGTATGTTTCTCAATTGTGTATGTGTACAGTGTGCAAATAGGCTTGCCAGATAATTTAGGAAGAACATCCATTCCAGTTTTCACTTTTGACCTGCAGTTCATGGATCAAATATAAAGACTTTCAGCTTGGCATAACTATGAAGAAACCTTCTCCTCCTTTGAGACTGTGTGCTGCGAAATAGTAGAGATCCACTTTCTATCCTTACCAGGGCTGGCACAGGTAAGGGAACCAGGTCACTCGATTTGTAGCGCCTTGCTTTGCGAATGGCAAATTTCTCTGTGGGTGGTGATTTCCCAGCAATTCTTTGTTTGAAGGAGGAAACCTGCCTGTAGAATAAAAGCATGGAAATTACTGAAGTTTCACAAAGGCAGATATGTGGAAATTAAAAATCCTAAGAAAGTTTAGAAAGAGTTTAATCCAGTTCTGCCACATCAGACTTTAAATCACAGTTTTCAGTCCTTTACATGTAGTTCTTTAAGTAAGACATTGATTATGCTTTTGCCTTTTAACAACATTAGTTGACAAAACTTTCTGTAGCAAAACTATTGTAAATCTGCAGATTCCTAACCTTGGGAATTTGCAGTCAGTTTTACCATTGAAACAAGAGAAAACTCTTTAGATCTGGTTGGGGAATTTTGAAAGTTGAAGTCCACACATCTTAGAGTTCCTGAGGCTGAGAAACAATGTTTCAGAACATTCATCCTAAATTGCCCCCAACTTTCAAAAACTTTACCTGAAAAGTTCAACCTCTACTTCACCAAAAGGCCGTGGCTCATTAGCAGGCAGCATGCTAAGGAAGGCAGCTTTCATGTACACATACATTGCCTGCAACAAAGCAACGAAGTAAAACATTACAGGATTCTGACAGGGGCTAACTTATTTAAGTACTTATTTAAAACATTTATATAGCTGCCCGTCTTATGCCAAACTCTGGGTGGCTCCCAAGAATTAAAACAACATAAAAACCTGTGCTCGTTTTATCTGGCATTCTTCTTTCCCAGCTGCCAGGATTGTTTTGTTACCCCTACAGTAAATGACCAGACTAAGAAATAAATGCCAAGAAGATGGACTACTTTTATTGTAATAGTCATAGTAATGGAATCTTGCAAGTATGAATGTACTCCCCACCCCCCTTTATCTTCGTGTGAACTACTAGGGAACTGAGACATTTGCTGAAATTAGCTTCTTGGCCTGGGCTCAAGCCCTATTTATCTGACCGCTGTTTTGGTAGCAGCTCTTCTTCCTGTCCTTCAAAGCCATTAGCTATGTCCTCTTCCATTACTGCTCCCCAGGCAGCTATTAGTTGGTAAAATATGACTGAGATACAAGGTAGTGAACAGGGGGTAACCACAGATAATACAGTTGTAAACGCTGTGACAAACCGAACTGAAGCCATTTTCATTTTGTCTTTTTTTTTAATATATTTTATTATTTTTTTACAATAACAATCTTTAATGCTTCGTGAACAGTGTGTTGTCTGGGTTCATATGCTCAAAACAATCAATAACAATTAATTTCCCCAATTAATCAATATGTTAGTTGGTAATATATTTCTTGATCCTCTCTTCTTCCATTAATAATCTCCTTTTGTCTACATTAAACAAATATTTCTTAATCTTTTCAGTACATACCAAGTTGAATATAAACATTTTTTGTATTTATGCAAATGATAACATCAACATATAACATATTTTTGTAGCGGGGACTGCCTGAGAGTGCTTGCAGGAGCTTGACTGGGAAGGAAAAGATTGGGACAGCTGCAGTTGGCTTTGGGTGTGGCTGGCGTGAGTGGAAGGAGGAAGGATAGAAAAGGAAAGGAAAGGAGAAGGCCGGGGGGTTGGAGTTGAGAAGAGAAGGTCTGGAGGCTTATTTTATTTTTCTATCAAGGGTATTTTAAATA